ACCCTGAGAATGTAGGCGGCAGCTGGCAGACCCAGCGAGGCAGCGATTGTAGAGCAGGGCAGAGCGCACAACCCAGGATTCCAGGGAAGGGACTGAGGTCCCACGGGGAACGGAGCTACCGCCATTGTTCCTTCTCAACCCCGCCCTCACATACAATGTCACAATCTAGCGACTGGGGTGCCCAACCCTGGTGAACACCTAAGGGTCCGCCCCTCACAGTAACAGGAGCAACCAGGCAAACCAAAAACAAAAACAAAAACAAAAACGAAAGAAAGAGAGATGGCTCAAACAGAAGCACAAATCAGTGCCCCAGGACTCATCCTTTTGAGTGAGTAAGAGATAGCTAACCTATCAGATGCAGAGTTCAAAACACTGGTGATCAGGAAGCTCACAGAATTGGTTGATTTTGGTCAAAAATTAGATGAACAAATGCATGTTACTATAAAAGAAATGAAGGAAACTGCACAGGGAACCCATAGTGATGGGAAGGAAACTGGGACTCAAAACAATAGAGTGGACCAGAAGGAAGAAAGAAATAACCAAACAGGAAAGAATGTAGAAATAAGAATTCAGAAAAACGAGGAGAAGCTTAGGAACCTCCAGGACATCTTTAAACATTCCAACATGCGAATTATAGGGGGTACTAGAAGGGGAAGAGGTAGAGAAACAGATTGAAAATGTACTTGAACAAATAATAAAGGAGAACTTCCCCATTCTGGCAAAGGAAATAGACTTCTAGGAAGTCCAGGAAGCTCAGAGAGTCCCAAAGAAGTTGGACCCAAGAAGGAACACACCAAGGCACATCATAATTACATTAGCCAAGGTAAAAATGAAGGAGAGAATTCTAGAAGCAGCAACAGATAAAGGGACAGTAACCTACAAAAAAGTTCCCATCAGACTGTCAGCTGATTTCTCAAAAGAGACCTTGGAGGCAAGAAGGGGCTGGAAAGAAGTATTCCAAGTCATGAAAGACAAGGACCCATATCCCAGATTACTCTATCCAGCAAAGCTTTCATTTAGAATGGAAGGGCAGATAAAGTGCTTCTCAGATAAGGTCAAGTTAAAGGAGTTCATCATCACTAAGCTCTTATTTTATGAAATGTTAAAGGGACTTATCTAAGAAAAGAAGATTTAAAAAAAAAACATGTATAGTAAAAGAACAGCAAACTCACAATTATTAACAAGCACACCTAAAGCAAAACCAAAAGACACTAAGCAAACAACTAGAACAGGAACAGAACCACAGAAACGGAGATCACATGGAGGGTCAGGAACAGGGGAGTGGGAGGAGGAGAGGGGGGAAAAGGTACAGAGAATAAGTAGCATAGATTGTAGGTAGAAAATAGACAGGGGGAGGGTAAGAGTAGTATGAGAAATGTAGAAGCTAAAGAACTTATGACACATGGACATGACTAAAGGTGGGGGAAGTGGGTGGGAGAGGGTGTACAGGGTGGAGGGGAGTGAAGGGGGGAAATGGGACAACTGTAATAGCATAATGAATAAAATATATTTTAAAAAAAAAGAAAAAAAAGTAAGTTTGCCAGTTCAATTCTGACTCAGGGCACATATCTCAGTTGTGGGTTCGATGTCTAATTGGGATGTGTACAGGAGGCATACTGTCCATGTTTTTCTCTCTCTCCCTTCCTTTCAAAAATCAATGGAAAGGCATCCCAGGGTGAGGATAAAAAAAATCAGTATGCATGTATCAGAGGCATGTACTCAAAAACTTTTTTTAATGGACAGAATTTTTGATAATGGTATCAAAAATTGTGATGATGGCAGCTTTACATGATGGGAAATTGACTAAGTCTCTCCTTTCCATATTACCTCTTTTGCTGAGCCCTAAATTCAGATTAATACCACCTTGTTGCTGTTGGGACTACCACCATAGTACTCCAAGTCCTTTACCTATCTCTGTTCTCTCCTGCCTTCCTTGCAGTTTCTTAGGTGGCAAGAAGACAAAGAGGATTCCTTCCTATTCATGCAGATGTGTATTTAATTCAGTGTACATGTACAGTAATAGAAATATTATAATTCAGGTTGGAAGAGAGGTATATGAGGAAAGACTTCACAGAAGAGTTTGTACTCTGTCTTTGAGGCATGGGAGAGCCCAAAGGATATAAATTCTTCCTTTAGGGAACCAGCATGATGAAACTTGCATTCTTAGAAAAGTCATTGCCAGGAATCTAGAAAATGGAATGGAGGCGGGGAGAAAATTAGGCTGGAAGAATTGTAGCACACTAGTGTAATAATGCATCATTTAAAAAATTAAGCAGGATTTGGTCCTCAATATAACAAATAAAAGTAATACATGAGTTCTTCTCCATGTAAGGAACCTAAGGAGAAGGCACAGGAAAAGCAGGGCAGCAGAAAAATCGAAGAAATCAGAGATAAGGAAGAGAACTAGAGTGTGTCAGTAAAGCCAAGGGAGGTGAAAAGCTTCAAGGAGTAGCAAATGATTAAAAGTTAAAAAGAGGTCAAAAGAAGGACTTGGAAGTGTCCACTTGGATTGAGCAAGATTATCAGTGACCCTTTGTCAACTCTGTTTCAGTAGTGCAGTGATCACAGGGATATGGCTGCGGGAGGCTGAAAAGCCGAAGAACCTGGTTGTAAAGGGAAGGGCAGTGTAGAAGTGCACGTGGGCTCAAGAGTTTCCGTGTCTGTGTTTACAAATATAAGTACAGGTATCTCCCATTCTGAAGTTTCAATCAAGCTACTTCACTTCATGAAAGACATAATCAGTACAGTCATCACTCCCCCCACCCCTGTAAAAGTGAAAATCCTCCGGATTTCTTTCCGTTAGCAAGAACAGGTATTAATGTAGGTCTCTCGTGAAAGCGAACTTTCTGAATGCAAACTTTCTGTTCGTTTCATGCCATTTCAGTTTATGAGGTTTCATAGAAATGCTCTACTCTTGAAACTGGAAAACACTGGCCTTCGTGCTGCCTGTCACATACTGAACCCAATAACCAGAAACAGGGATTGAATCTTTCTGGGTACTTTATTTAGATGGCAGGTGATCCGAGAAGATGGAGCGTTCATACCCTAACAGACTGTCTAAATTCCATTTTAAAATGGCCCTTTTTATAAGACAAGATGTAAGGGGTTTGGAATTCAGGGGAAAGTTAATTGCATTAAGAAAGCCGCAGTATTCCCCCCCTGGGCAGTGGTCATTAGTTGTGTCTTGGGCTGTGGTCATCTCACCCTGGAGGACAATGGCTCAGATACCATCTTGATTTCTTGCAGTCCTCCTGAGGCACAAAGGTGGTGGAACTGCTTAGAGACAGGGTGGAACATACTTTCAGTTCCTGGCACAACAGCTCTTACATGCATTGATTACTAAGCTTATTAGCTATATTACTTAAACTGAAATTTTCCAACTCTTGAAGCCCTACCATTTTCAATAGGGGGAGGGGGAGGGCTGTAATATAAGCTTGCTTACCGACTTGAGGCAAGTAATCTGTAGAGAGAACAGTGCAACTGACGGAAAGAAATCCCAGCGGGAAATGGAATGTATACAATTATAACTGCTTAAGTGGAGAAAAGAGCCCTATTTAAAAACAAAACAAAAAACAAAAAAGTGACTACAAAAGGCCTACCATACATGGGTGAGATTTCTTAATCTGAGTTTTCAATTTTGAAAAATAATTTGTTTCTGCCCTGGCTAGGGTGGCTCACTGGATTGAGTGCTGGCCTATGAACCAAAGGGTCACTGGTTTGATTCCCAGTCAAGGCACATGCCTGGGTTGCAGGCCAAGGTCCCCTGTTTGAGGCCAGCAGGAGGCAACCACACATTGATGTTTCTCTCCCTCTTTCTCCCTCCCTTCCCCTATCTCTAAACATAAATAAAATCGTTAAAAAATAATTTGTTTCCAAGCTACTTTTTCCACTTCTGTATATTTTATCTGCAGTTAAGTGCTATCTTGCTCCCACCCCATCCCCCAATCTCGGTAAGGTTCAAGGTCCAACTCAATTACCACCATTCCCATAAAGCTCCTTTTGGTCTTCTAGTAGTGCTCTGTCAACAGCTTAACCCTACATCTCACATTACCTTAATAGGCCACCTCTTTTCAAAGTGCACTTCTTTTGGTCCCTGAGCACATTAACCCACGTTTCTATTTCCCATTTTACCATGAGCATTGATTTTAATGACCTACCTACCAGCCCGGACCATAAATGTGGGTTCAAATTAGTTTGGGCTGAAGATCTGCCCTCCTCTAGAGCTAAAGGAAACTTCTAGCCAATGACCAGATCCTGCCAGAATACGACCGGCCTCTTCGAACTCCGCGGTGTGAAACCTGATCTGTGCTCAAGATCAAGGACAACCCACACATTCTAAATAGAGGCGCACGCCTTCAACAGTTCTCCCAAATTTCTCTCCTTCCCCATCTCTTCATGTTAAATCCCAAGAAAGGAAGCAGAATTCCTTCCGAGTAACTGTCACTCAAAGCCACGGAAGCGGCAGGCAATCAGAAAGTATGAGAAATTTGGAGGCAATCACTGAGCCGGAAAAGCTGGAACAACCTTAACCCTCCAGGTCCCCCGGTTTCCTTCCCTCGCCCCACGTTCCGCAGCTCCAGCACCTCACTTCCACCACGCGAGCCCGTTCGGCCCCGCCCCGCCCCACGCCACCCCACCCCACCCCACCCCACCCTGGCCTATTGCCCGCCTGGCAGAGCTGGGTTTTAAAGCAGCTCGGAGGCTGCTCTGACGCACTAGTGGTAAAGAGTAGCCGCGCTGGTGGCTCAGCACGGTGTCCCGAGTGCTGCAGCCCACTGCCGAGCAAACTCGGGTCATCGTGCTACTTCGGGCTGCGCTGTCCAAGTTCCAGGGGTGGCGTAATTGACGATAAGCCCCGCCCCGCCTCAAGGATCTTCGTTCGTGGAGAGGGCGGGCTCTCAAGTCTGGCGCAGGGCTCTCATCCTTCCTTCCGGTGGGCGCTGCGCTGGGCGCCTAGTGAGCAATCACAGGTCACGTCACGTAGCAGCAGCCAATCGGAAAGGCAGGGGGACTCCCGGATGAGCACTTGGTCGCACCTCCCTCTCAGTTGCCGCGTGGTTTGGGGGTTTTGTCGTAACTGGCTTTTTCTGCTGTTTCCCCTCCCTGTGGTTAAATCCAGTGCCATCGCTGTTCTTGTGACGCCCGGCCTGAGGATGCGAAGCGGAGTGGCAGGACGAACGCTGAGGCGAGTTCCGGGGCAAGCGATGGGTCTCCGGCAGCGAGCTCTAAAAGGGAATGGAGGACTTGAAGGAAAGAAGGGATAAACGCGTGTGTCCTAGAAATACTGAAGACAAATCGGGCCAAAAGTAAATTTACTAAGACGCACACACACACACGAATGTATTTTTTTCGCGTTTTACTTGGTCGTTCCCTATTGCGGAGATAATGTAGGAGCTGTCGGGCATAGGTATGTGACTCCAAAGGAGCATAAGTGAGTCTAATAGGAGAAGACGTCGACTTTCAGTTCAACGAACAGTTTGTTTGTAAGACCCTTTCAAACAATGCGGGAACTAAGAAGGAAATAAGGTAAGGTCCTTGGGGTTTGGTAAGCTCAGGGTCTAGTGGGGACTCATCAATAGCAGTCTTAGGAGGGACAAGAGAGAAGGGTTTTGTTTAAGGTGTGGGGCATCATAGAAAGCTTTCAGGAGTGGGATTATTTTAGGACGATGCTGTATGTTTACGGTATGAAATTGCAGTTTTCATAGAAAAACAAAATGGGGCCAGTTAGGGCATAGTTTCTATTTTGCGTCTTGGAAGAGCTCCTTAGCATATTAAGTGGCGTATTTATTTTCTGTTTAACAAAAATGTAACCTCTTCGTTTCCTTCTCTTGCTCGCAAGAATGATTCCAACATGTCCAAGCAGTATTGCTTCTTTTCCCCCTTTTTGTTACTTCTGTTCAGATTCCAGTCAGAAAGACTCAGCTCAGGGTATTATTTATTGACGTGTCCTTTGAATTATAATACGCCTACATTTTATTTGACTGAAATTCACAGAGGTGTTGGTTATATAGCTTTTTTAAAAGTCACATTAGGGGAAAATTGGTCCATGCAGAATGAGCTTGCTTGTCGTACAAAGGGTAGGACCCGGATTGATTAATTAATTTATAAAGATTGTATTCATGTTTTGGAGAGCGGGAAAGGGAGCAAGAAAGTGGGAGAGACTCGTGTGTGTGTGTGTGTGTGTGTGTGTGAGAGAGAGAGAGAGAGAGAGAAAGAGAAACACAAACACCAGTCAATTGCCTCTCGCACGCCCCCAGCTGGTGACCTGGCCCACAACCCAGGCATGTGCCCTGACAGGGAATGGAACCAGCTTTCTGTTCCCAGGGCAGCAGCGCTCAATCCACTGAGTCACGCCAGCCAGGGCTGGCTGGACCTGTCTTTCTCATGAGTCTGTACCTAAGGGTGGAATTGCTGGGGTAATATGCTAACTCCTTATGTCCAACCTCTTGAGGAAAGCTAGCAGAACTGTTTTTTCCAAAGTGGCTGCACCACTTTACATTGCCACTCGCAGTGGATGAGAGTTCCAGTTTCTCCACAGTCTCGGTCTGGTAGGTGCGAAGTTGGAGCTCCTTGTGGTGGCTGCCCTAATTTTAAGGACTTAGAGTTTGTAAGGAACCTGCTAGAAGATGCTCCTTGAGTGCAGAAACAATGTCTAAGGTGAATTTGTCCTTTCGGCCCCTGGTACACAAATAGATATGTCTCAGATGTGTTTCTGAAAAAACCTTCTGTCCAACCAGTTGTGCTTTTGAAAGAAGCAGGGCTTGTGGGGAAACCCTATGCAATTGGATAATCTTGAAAATAAGCATTGATCAGCATGGAGAAGTAGTCTTAATGCCGTCCTACCCCATCAAAGGTAACTTTAAATGGAGATCGCCATAGAGTGTAGGTGTATTAAAACAGGAAAGCTGGTGGGGCTAGATTTTACAGATGGAAGTGGAGTTCTGGGCGAAAGGGCTTCTGTTCAAATGGGTTCAGAAGCAGGTAACCTACTGAGAACATAGACGGAGGTGGGTGGGGCCGGGGAGGGCACCAGGAATGCAGGCACTCAGTTTTCACTTTTTTAAAGATAGAGTGAAAGGAAAGGTGCTGCCAGTTCGTCTCAGAGTACCGAGGAAAGAGGGCCTTTTTTTCCTTTTCTGCTCAATTGGATTCCAGGTGTTGATGTTCTCTTAGGAAAGATGAAATAGTGGCTGTCACATTATTCTGGTGCATTCTTTGTATTACTGCAGAACAGATCTACTCAAATGTAGACTGCTTAACTGCAAGTCACTAATCCAGGGAAGCCACAAAGGGTCACTGCCATAGGTATTGTCGGTGTACTTGTGGATAGAGAAGTTTGTACTTTGTTATAAATGGAATTTTTTTAGTTGAGTTGTATTTATTTATATGTTTATCACTTTTGCATGATTTTTGTTACTAGTTTTTATTGTTTTACGATGACACTGAGGTTCTCATTTTGATCATCTTTGCTTCCTCCAATAACTTCATATCCAGTGATTAAACCTTTTCACTGCTGTTCACATAATGAACTGTTGTGATTACTGAACATGTTAATGAGGATATGTAAGCTATTATAAAGATATTATTTGCAAAAGGCATTGATTATTACACAAAGTAATTTAAAAGAAAACATCTCCTTTCAGGAATTACATTCTTAGAGATGTCAGAAGAAGATTCCTGGGTCTTGGAAAATGACCTGAATATGCAGAGGAGGTAGTGTATCTTTCTGTCTTAACTGTACTTCTGGCACAGTAATGATGAGTTGGAAACGAAGGGTTGTCCAACTAAAAGAAAATGGATTGATAAAGGTGAAATCTATTTTGTTGTCCTGATATAATGAAGTATATTTCTAGTAACTGATTTACATTCTTGCTGAGTTTTTTCATCCCTTTAGATCTCTGGGTTGTTGTGGGATTTTTAATTTTTATTATTTTTTTCTTCAGAAAGCCGTGGAGATTTGAAGTTACTGGTGACCAAAGGTAAAGGCAATTCTGAATTTTAGACCTTTTCAGCTAATTCATAAGTTGTACATTTTACTTTTTGGATATGGATTAGGGCCCTCTATTATATATCACTATGTAACAAATTACTCAAATCTTAGTAGTTTAAAATAACAAACACTTATGATGAGGGGTGGGGGACATCTCCTTCCAAACTGTCTCACTTGGCATGTCTCAGGTTTTGTTTTTGTTTTTTTTAATCCTCACTGGAGGATATGTTTATTGATTGTGGGGGGGGGGCGGTGGGGAGACAGAAATGTCAGTGTGTTTCCTCCCATACATGGACTAAGCAGGGATTGAACCTGCAGTGTGGGTATGTGCCCTGACCAGGAATGGAATAGGCAGCCCTTTGCTTTGCAGAGGGTTCCCAACCAACTTGAAGCACAGCAGTCAGGATCCTCTTGCTTTTTTCTTAAAGTTTTAAAACTTCTGATCATTGGAAACCTTGTCCAGTAACAAAAGCATACACATAAAGCAAGGCATAACCAGTTTTGGAATGTACTGAAGTATGATTACCCTTTCCGTAGCAAGTCTGATGGTGAGAGTATGCCTGTAAGTTTCCATAACACAAGCTGTGCAAAGTAGATAGATGATATACTTGAGATGATCTTTGTTGTGGTTGTTTTCTGATCAGTGAAATTAGGGCTCTTATCTCTTCTACCTGAGAGAATTGAAATGTATAGAAATGTGCATGTGTTATGTATTATTTTTAAAAATGGCTAAGCACTGAAAACCTTATGACTAGAGCATAAGTTAAAAATGAGAAAGCATAAATGTCCAATGATTAAACTTTTTCCACTGCTGTTCACATCATGACTTGTTGTGATTAATGTATGTGGATGAGGACATAATGGAAAATGCAAAGTGTGAGGGTCATAATAGGTATCAGTTTTTGTACATTGATTTACCTGTAAATTTCTTTTCATTTAGGAATAAAGTTGCAGGATGTTTTTCTTAAGAAAACATTTGTATGCTTTATCTGATTAAGAAATCAAAGATTTATTTAATAAGGTAAGAAGTTTGTAAATTAGTTTGGATAAAACATTTAAAAGGCTGAGCAAAAAAAAATTGACATTTGATCAGAATTTTGATATTGTACTCGATTAGTACTTTTTCCTTCATTCAGCTTTCAAAAGTAAATATGATTTCAAAGATAGTATAATTTTCTGAATGAATAGATTAGTTTAAGAACAGGCCATTGGCTGGGTGGGGGGACAGACCTTTTAACCACAGTCATCTTTTCTTAAAAATAATGACATAATCCTTTCAGCCCCTGAAATTCTCAGAGATCAGATGTTCTGGGGTTTACATTTGCTGAACAACTAGACATTTGATAAGTACTCTTTGATGCGCCAGTGGGTGATCATCCTATGACTTGAGCTTTGTTCAAGTCATAGGCAGGTGGTTGCAAGCTGGGAATCTCGAATCTAATACCAGGTTCATTTGTCATTAATTAGGCATGTTGTCTGAGGGGTTTCTCAAATATGAGAAATATAAAGGGGGGAAATTTCGTAAATACTCAATGTTCATTCTTTCATTCTCATTCTCTCGCTCTCCCTTCCCTCTTTCTCTTTCCCGGATTGACTGTGGACTAATACAAAGTTTTCTTTTTAGATGCATGTAGTTCTTACTTTGCACCATTCCAACATGCATTTTTCACAGCTAAGTAACACCAGCCCCCAACATGGTTGAAATTCAGTTACCGATTATTAACTGAATTGTTACATAAACTTTGCAGCTCGCTCTTTATTCCATAAACCATTATGGAACTAAAAGATGTGCGTCATGATCAGAAACCAGTTGCATCACTTCTTTCAAAGTCTGTTGGTGGTGGGTCAGTTCAACACAGCTAGTAAAGAATAGTTGTATTGCTTTCTTGTCTTCCTGTGATAAACCTGTATGACATCTTATAAAAGTGGATAATCAAAAGAGGGAATTGGTCCACAAAGAGGACAGCAGTAAGGAGGCAAAAAGTGATAACACTGGAAGTGAAATTGAATGTGGTTAGATTTGTAAATGGTGACAGCAAAGCAAAGACAAGGCGAGACCTAGGCCTACGTGAAGCTACAGTACAAACTATATTCTAAAAGCCTGATGAATGTGAAAACTAAGGTAAAGTTGCTGCAACCTCTTTTAGGTTAAGTTGCATTAGGAAGAGAAAGCTGCTTATGATTGAATTGGAGCATTTTCTTGTACTTTAGGTTGAGGACTGTAATGAGAAACAAATCCCAATCCGCTTCACTAGCATTCAGGCCAAGGTATCTTAGTGCTACACTGAAGGGGAAGGTAATTACAAGAAGACAAAAAGAACATTGTATTGCCAGTAAAGGCTGGTTGTATCGTTTCAGAATCCTGCATGAGTTGATTAACCATAAACCATCTGGTGAAACTGCAAGCTGAGGTTAAGGATGCTACTATGAAATTTGCACCCAGATGCCAAGAGTTCCAGACAATGCTGGCACCTCACAGTCAGGCAAGACAGCTGTGCGAAAAACTGTAGGATGTGGATGGAACGTAAATGGAGTTCCAGAAGTAGTAGATGACTCTGGGAAATTGACACTGCCTCCACTGAAGAAGTATTCCTGGGTATGCAGCCAGAGGAAGTGATGCAGATGAGAAACTTCACTAAAGGAACTCTGTGATTTTTCTGCCATTGAAAGCACAAATAAAACTTCAGAAGCTGGTCTAAATCTGCCATGGCATAGAAAGGAAGCTCACAAAGAAATAAAACACTATCATTCTCAATGTTTAATGTTTTAAATATTTTACTTTTTTTTTACGTTTATAACCAACATAAAGACAGCTTACTGTTTTGATGTAAAGTCACAGTAATCATAGATTAAGATTGCTTTCCACAACTTAGGCTAGGGAGTCTTTATATTTCACCAAATATAAATACATCAGGTTTAGAAACGGGTATATTTGCATCCTACCGGAACCAATTATAGTTGACATTTCTCAAGTTGCCTTTTTATCCTACTATATCAAGTTTTGAAATAATTTATAAAACTTACATGTCTCATTTTTTACTTAGGGTATTAATCCAATTGTAGGCTGAATCCTAACAGAACAGGGTTTGGCAGACTTTTCCTGTAATGGGCCACACAGTAAGTACTTTAGGTTCTGTGAGTCTCTTGCAGCTACCCTACTTTGTCCTGATGGCCCAGAAGTGGTCATAGGCCATTGGAGAATGGCTGTGTTCTCTTAACCTTAAGGAATATTTCTCCAACAAAGTGAGTTTATTCTGGGACAACAAATTGCAGTTTGAGGCATCTGGTCTAATGGCGAACCAAGCGCAAATCCAGAAAATAAAGGTGAAGAATAAACGGGGAGTGCGGGTGGAGTATTTCAGAGGGGTTGTTGTAACCAGTTGATTGGAGCAAACAGTTTGCAGTGTACTGAGTTTTGGGCTGGTTGTTGGGGAAAGACATAGTACTTCCTGCCAGAGTAGCACAGTAAGACATCTTCCTGTTCAAGGTGGAAAGTGCCTCTTCCTGTTGGGGCAGATGGACCAGTGGAAGGGACTAAGCTCCCACTACAGGCCCTCAACTACACCTTATATGAGGGTTCTGTTTATTGAAGAGTTACTTAAAACTTCATGTACACTGGAATTTGAATTTCATATAATTTTCTCATCGTGAAATAATTTTCTTTTGCCCAGAGTTTTTTGTGTTTATGATACTGTTAGCTCATAAGGCCTTAACAAAAGTGGGTGGGGATGGGGAGAATTATAGTTCAACATAGATGTAAGAGGAGCACGTAGTTGGACCATATGATTATCTTTCAAGTGTAAAGCCATCTGCTTTAATAGGATTACCTGAGAAACGGGAAGAAAGATTACTTTTTAACATTACAGGATCCAGCTACCTTGCCAATTCCGTTATCAGAAAGAGTGATTTTAATACAAAAGAGTAACAGATTGAGATCACAGGAATCATACTTCTAAGAACTAACATTTGTAGAGCAGTGACTGAGCCAGTCACTTCGAGCACTTAGCAGGCTCACCTCAGTCAGTCCACAAACATACCATCCCTACTTTGCACACCTCGGGAGATTCCATGCACTCAAGGGCCAAGAGCTGAAGAATGGGCACAGTAGGCTTACTAAGCATAGGTCATGGTGCATCTCACCCACGTGACCTGCTCTGGTATACAGATCTACGCTGAGGACCTCAAGATCTAGGGGTGGCAGAATGACCCAGTGGTTGCCACGTGGGCTCTGGAGCCAGACTGCTCTTCTGTTTCTATCCCAATTTGCCTTCAGTTTCTTAGCTCTGTGCTCGTTTGCTCACCTGAAGAATCATCACAGTAATAACCACCAAGGTGACAGATGTATTTTTCTATGCATTGGACAAGGTTCCAAATCTTCCTGAAGGAACCCATGTAATGGGGCTGCCACAGCCTCCCTTACATGGAAGTATCTGTATAGTGCTCAAAGCCCTGCCTGGCGCAGATTAAGCTCTATAAATGCTAGCTTTAATGGAGAAGCCAGTCTGTGCCTCTGCCAGTGCTGGGGTCCCTAATCTTGGCTCACTGCTAGGTCTTCATAGCATTGGCACATGGAAGGCACTTGGTCAACCTAAGTGGTGGTAGCCAAAGTTTAGACTGTGCAGACATCCTCAGTCCCCCCAGAGAAGAGCAGATGGATCACCAGGAGCTCCAGAGGTACGTGCTCAGTTCCATAATACCAGGCACACAGTGCAGCTAACACTTCTCATGTTTGCCCTGGAGGGCCTGGGCTGATCTCCCATGAGGTCTGCCACCAGGTTCAACTGCCAGTCCCTGGGTGTCCTTCCCCTTGCTGTTCCAGGCTCTTAGCAAATGCCTCAGCCATTCATCCAGGTTACCTGGATACTTCACCTTGAAGGCATCAATCTTGGTCTCAGACACTTCAAGTTGAGGAGTCAGCCTTCTCCAGCCCTTCCCTGGGTGATCATAGATTACATAGGATGTCGAATGCAGCACTCAAGTGTTGCTCTTCCTGCATGACTTGGCTGGCCATGTCGGCTTCAAGGTCACCCAGGAACCACAGAGAGGTCTTGGCTTCACAGGGAGGCCAGCACATGGTGTGCTCAAGATCCATCTTGCCCTGTGAGGAGAGGTTGAGGCTGCTCTGTCCGAACTCCAACTTCCTATTGTCCATGGGGCCATGGCACAGGAACTTGAGCTCAGCCAGTTCACTGACTGATCAAGTGACCTTTTGTTTGCAGGAGGACACCCAACCAACTGAGCCACTCTGGTCAGAGCCTTGTTAACATACCTCTATGATGAGCCTTATCCGGTCCTGGCTGGTGTGCATTGCAGCAATGTCCCATACGTAGATTCTGTCCCTGGCAACTCACTACATGGATGTTTCGCTCCATCTCTCCCTCCCTTCTCCTCGCCCTAAATTCAATAAGCATGTCCTTGGGTGAGGACTTTAAAAACAAATAATTGGAGAATGGGCTGGGGTGGGGGGGGGAAGGCAGAAAACTACTTGAACTCAACAGGGAAATCAAACAACCAAATAAGCCTTAACCACCTTCAAGAAAGCACATAACCCTAACCTGTAATCTACCACCACCCCCGCACCTTGCTCATTTTCTTCTGTCCCCTTTTTTAATTTCAAATACATTTTCTAAAATTTGCAATACCTATTCTCTGGAGCACTTGCGATCTTGCTTCTGGGCATAAGTCATCAGTTTGGCTCAAATAAACTCATAAAAATTCTCTACACATTTGGACATTTCGGACACAAAGAGCCATATTTTACTTTCAGTGTACAAGAAAGAGAAACATTCCTTCCAATGAAGGCACTTACGGCTTTAGGAAAGAGACCGTTGACTGGTCCCTAGTAAAAAGAGAACTGGTCTAGAAGTTGTCAGAACTTGCATCTAGGTTCTGGTACTTTAGCAAGTGATTTTCTTCTGGTACTTTCTTTACTGGGAATAATTTCCCCCTAATCTAGGAACAACATCCCAGGCAACGCACTAATTAGATGCCGGGCTCTCATTAAACTATTTAGTAAAGTTCCAGTAACTGGGGGCAAATTCTAATAGATCTCAAATTGTACCATAGGGTATTAATGGAACACCTTACCCATAATGCCTCTTTGGAGTAACGAATCAAGTAAGTCCAAGACAGCCCTTGGGTGTGGCCAGATCGTAAGGATTTAAAGTTCCCCAAACACAAGGTTACAGAACCAACTAAGAAGTTTTAAGAACTGGATCACAAGTTACTGTCCCTGCAGTTAAGGCCCTTGTAGCCCGATTTTCACGTGGGTTGTCTGGTGTGGGCAGTGTTACCAGGGCTGTTCACTTCTCTGACTAGTGCTACCTGGCATTCCGGCAAGCCCCAGTGGTCTTCGGCCGCACATCTAAATTCAGTAGGATTTTTCTCTGTCGCACAGTTCGGGTCACCACATCGCGGGGCACCGCATTGACACCGTGGCTACTCCCCGTCAGCACCGGTCCCTAGCCGTAGGAACGCGCGCGAGGATCCCAAGAGAGCGCCCCGCCCGCTTCAACGCAAGCCGGCGTCGCCTGCTGGGGCTCCCGGAAGTGCCGTGGCCCGTTTGGCCCTGGAGTGGGCGGAGCGAGGCTTCGCTGCCGGAAGCTCGGTGGCCGATTGGGCGGGGTTGCGGCTGCCACGTTGAAGCGGAACGTGGAGGTGTCCCTGAGCCTGGAGGAGGGGCGGTAGCGAATGTTCGGAGAGTCTGACTGGAGTCGTGCTAACGCAGTAACCGGTCGTCTAGAGTCCTTGCCAGGTATGTATACCCTATTCCTTCCTTACCTCTTCGCCAGCCCTGGGGCCTGAGGTTGAGCATGGGGCAAAGCGGTGACCACAGCCTCGGTCTCCGCTGGTCCCCGCCAGCCTGAGGCCCGGTCTCCGGTGGCTGCGCGCCCCTGGGCTTGGTTTCGGGCCCGGCGAGACAACGCCTTGGCTTCACGGCTGTTTTGAAGATTGTGCGGGTTCACGTCCGCCGTCGTTTTCACTGCTGAGTAGGAGTTCCGCTGAGGCTTGCGACAGGGTGTCCTGCCAAGGCGGGTAACTGGGGTCTGAGGCTAGGAGACCTTCAACCCCTTGTGCACAAAGAGGTGCGGTCCCCAAGGGCGAGGGAAGGAAACAAACCTCAGGATTCCTTTGGGTTGGGTAGAATTTTTTGTGTGTTTTAACTGTTGCCAGATTGAAAAGTTGGCAGGTTTTAACTGAAGGCTACGGTCGTTCAGCCAGTATTGGTTTATTTTATGGGCAGTGGTCGCCAATCTCAGCCTGTACCTCAGAGGAAGTCTCGTGAATGCTGTAAGTTTTTGCTAATAAATCATAAGAGGGTAGATTACGGGGCAGGTGTAAAATAAATCAAAGTATTGCCTGGGCTTGTGGGTATTGCAAACTTTTCTGTTTGCTCACGGAACTAATTTTACTTAGGTCTTTGATGGTCTGTGGGTAAAACAAATTTTTTTTCTAAACTTCTTTATGTAAGTATAGAAAACTGAACTGTGATGGTCTTTGTCATCAACTGTAACTTTTTAATTTATAATTAGAGACTCCTCTTTGTATTATACTATACATTTTCTGTACGTACTAACTGTTACAGAGTTGGCTAAAAAAGTTTACTCCTCTTTGATTTGTGATTCTTCTGTGCTCTTTGCTTCTCCTTGTCCCTTAATTATAACTGTGGGAAAGGCTTGCAGGCTGTAAGAACTTACACGAGATTTGGAATGGATTTAGAATTATACTGCTAAATGTCATATAAGTAGGGTCTTTTCTGAAACTAGTAACATAAGAATAGAAAGAAGTTTGTAAACTGTAAAGAGCAGTGATTGTTAAGCTTTTGGGATTCTGCTCTCTTTTGAGGGTCTGATGAAGATACTGGGTCATTGTCCCAGAAAAATGCACACACAGGTAGGATTTTCTATATAATTTCATGAAGTTTGCCAATCCCAAGTTAAAAACTCACGTGAGGTGATGTTATTAAATTGTTTTTTCCATTGTTTTTAGAAATGCCATTCTTGAATAGATTAATTTCAGCTCAAAAAGTTTATATTTGTTAGACTCCAGATACGTATGACACTTTCTAGTTCAGTGGTCAGTTGCTTCTTTGGTTTTGGTTGAGTGAGATGAGCCTAGAACACTGATCAAACCAAATAACTTCTGTAGAACAAATGTGCCCATCATGATGAGATGTTTTGCCCACACAAGATGGGTATTTTTACTAAAGGCAGTGTGAGTTAGGGACTGTATTTCTGGTTCAGGAGTCAACATTTCCAATTCTATTACCATCTACACTTTTTACCTTCTGACATGTAGGTCCTCTCTCTGTGTCGCATTGTAAGGTTGGTATTTTTTGGAGAATAGTACTGTTTTGTTTTAATATTGTTTCACAAAATTATTTAGAAAATGTGCAGAGCCCTGCTGAGTAATTCAGTTGGTTAGAGCATCATTCCGGTACACCAAGGTTGTGGGTTCAATCCCTGAGGACATACAAGAATCAAGCAATAACTGAATAAACAAGTCAAACAACAAATTGATGTTTCTCTTTCTCTCTCTAAAAATTTTTTTTAAAAAATAAGAAAAAGAAAATGAGCAGAAAGAAAAAAGTTTCCACTTAACTGCATGCAGTTATTGTGGAATGTTGGATGAAAATAATAAGAGTTCTAGTCTGGAACATAAATTTTCTTCAGTAGATGTATTCATGAACATTCACTGGGATAAAGATTTTATTTTGTTTTTAAAACTCACTGGAGGATATATTTGTTGGTGAGAGAGAGAGAGAGAAAGAGAAAGAGAGAGAATCATCAATGTGAGAAGAGAAACACCCAACCAGGAACAAAAACCTTAACCTAGGTTTATACACTGACCAGGAATCAAAGCCGCAACCTTTTGATGTAGGTGCGGCCCTCCAGCCAACTGGGCCACCTAGCCAGGGTGAGATTTTTATTTTACTTATTAAAGATTTTATTTATATATTTTTAGACAGAGGGGATGGGAGGGAGGAAGAGAGGGAGAGAAACATCGATGTGTGGTTGCCTCTCTTGATCCTATACTAGGGAACCTAGCCCGCAACCCAGGCAGGTGCCATGACTGGGAATCAAACCAGCAACGCTGTGGTTCACTGGCCAGGGCTCAGTCCTGAGCCACACCAGTCAGGGCAGGATAAACACTTTAAATTGTTACTTTGTTAATAGCTCACAATTAAGAGCATTTATTTACTACCTGCTACACACTCTCCTCAGCATTCTGTGTAATACCTTATTTAATTCTCTCCACAACCCTATGGTATCAATGCTTGTGTTATATTTATTTTACCAAGTGGGTAGGCAAGACACACATAAGTAAGGTTACATGTCTGAAGTCAGAGGTAAGACGTGGTGGAGCTGGGAGTTAAACAGAGTATTGGCTCCAGGCTCCGTACTCTTTAACTGCTGTGCTACAGATGATATCTTGTAGATGATCTCTGTGAACAAGCCACTGTCCTCACAACTTACTTTTGATATTGTCAGAATGATCGCATTCCATGTAAAATAGTCTTGAATGAGAAGTCTGCATAATGTGGATTCTAATCACATATATTATTGAAAAAAATTACACAAAGCTGTTAAAACACATCTCACTTGGAAAGTACACATGGTTTAATTTAAACCTTCTTCATGTTTTAACACTGAGTGATCATATCTTACAGAAGGATTATATATATTCATCCAGGTGAAACTATATTCCAGTAGCATTCTTGGTTTTGAGAATGATTATACTGCATAGATTATGGGACTCTTGTTTAATTAGATTCAGGCCACAATGTATTTGTAGCTCATTTTTGTAGTATAATGATTATTTACTTACTTATTTTTCAGATAGCATTGAAGCCTTCTGTTCAATACAGGTTGATCAGTGGAACTGCTTCTGGTGGCACATAGAGTACTAAGACAAAAAAAAATAGACTTTTATAAATGCTTTGAATCCCCACTTATTCACATTATGTTCTTGCAAATTTATCTTCCTCTTTCAGTAAGTGTTACACATTAACTAAATGTTCATGAGTTATGTAGCCCTTGTTGTACCTTTGCTCTTTAGAGATACTGTAATTCTATTCAGTTAGGTTTTTAAAATTTTTATTTACTGATTTGAGAGAGAAAGGGGCAGGGAGTAAGACAGACAGATGTCAAGACGTCCACTTGTTGCTCCACCTATTCATGCACTCATTGGTTGATTCTTGTGTGTGCTCTGACTGGGTATTGAACCCACAACCTTGGCATATTGGGACAATGCTCTGACCAACTGAGCTACCTGGCCAGGACTTCAGTTGAATTTTTAAAATATATATAGCTATTCTGTTTTCACTTTTATAAATTACTCTAAAGGCAGTTTATAAAACCTTTTCTCCTAACAATACTTGCCTCTATTTTTCAAATGAGGAAAGGTCTTGTAAATAGATAAGAATTTAAAAATTAAATATTTTATCTGAAATTGGCCTTTCTAGCTCATTAGTCTATTTGAATTTCCCTAAATATAAACATTCAGAAGAAGAACAATTTCTGTGGACCTACTCCTTTGTGCTGAGTAATTTGATCCCAAAAGGGGTAAAAACTGTAAGACTCATTGAGAAAATAAGTTATTTGTGTATTTAATGTGGCATGACATATAAAACTATTGGTAAAAAGGCAGTGGGGAAAATATGTCAACAATATGTACCAATATAATGTTACAAAGTTTTGTTAAGATAGAATAAGACACTTTCTTATAAAATGCTTAAGGGTGTGATACAGACAAATAGAAAGTTAAGAGGTTGTTTAGATCAGTGTGGATTGGATCATTAGGCAGTTTTCATGAGGGGGCTGGAACTTAAACTTGACAGTTGGCTGAAAGGAAGAAGATGGCATTTTATATAAGGAAAATAGGCTGCTTTTTCACTTTTTAGAATATTGGGTTTGTGGGGTTTTTTTTTATCATAATTTTAGGAAACTACATGCATGGTATTCCTGGTTAACCTCATGATAGTAATAACTTCAAAAAGTAGTTAGCACATTGAAACACTTATTAACTTATGTTGACGGCACTGAGTTTGGCCCTCGATAAAATAAATTATTTCACTTAAACCTCACAACATCCCATGTGGTAGTCACTCTTATCCCAATCTTACAAATGTAAAAACTGGAGCTCTGAGAGGTTTCAATGATGTGTCCATAGTGTCATAAGTAGCAGAGCCAATATTCAAACCAAAGATTGAGTTTATAGGACTTGGCTTTTAAGCATGAGTAATTCAACCTCCTAATCCACTTTTGCCTAATCCAGCACACTTTCAAATATATTTTTTTTCTTCTTTTAATTTCATCATGTGTCGTAGATGCTTTGCCATTAATCATTTCTTCCAAGTGTTAATATTTCATCTGTGATTAAAATTGAATATCTGAACTTGTTGAAGCAACAAGTAAGGGGTTGGACTCGAGCTGAATTCCTGAGTTTAAATTTTGGCTCTGCCTCTTGCTAGCATATACAGATTATTTTATCTCTCTATGCCTTAATTTATCATCTGTAAAATGTTCTTCAAGTATACATTTAGAACCTGTAAGACACAGGGCATATTATTAATCTAAGGTCATCTTAAGGAAACTAGTAGAGGATGAACTTCATCCTCTAGAAATGAGTAAGAAACTGGCAATAGTACTGTTGGGGAGCACTGAGTGTATTTAACCAAAGACTTAAGACTAAAGAGTGGAAATAAGGAAAAAAAAATAAAGTCTATGGTAAATATTTGACAATATAGAAGTT